AACGTAATCATCTCATGGATTTCAGAACAATCGAGAAAGGCCAGAGACGGCTCTGGTCATTACAAAACAAATAGCGTGGGCATAATGTTGCAGTATTTCAAACACATTCAACAAAAATAAGTAGCGTTAAACCACTTCCGAAATACTGGTACGTTTTCACACGAAGTCAACGAAATCACCACAAATTTTCTTGAAAATTCCAAAATCATCATCGAAAATCATGGCCGAGAAAAAGATAAAATTAAGGTGAATTTTCAGTGAAATCAGCGAAATCACATAAAAAGTTTTTATGTGATTTTCGAAATACAGAAAAGTTTTGACCTTAGTGGTTTCCCCTCGGTTCTGGCTTTTATCTTGTTTTGGCAGAAACACTTATTAGGAATCGGACTAAATATATTTAGCAAAAATAAGTTATTATATGCCTATTATCTGGTTTTGGTAGATACACTTAGCAATTGAACACAACGTTATGATTATGTTTTGGTATTAACGTTCCATCTTGTTTGTGCATATTGTTAATGTATTAATATGGAGTTAGTTTTTATTGTTTATCATGAATATATACTTCCTTCCCACTTGTAGAAAGTGTACCTACTTAACTCAAAACTTTCAAAAGTGGAACTATCTTGTTTTTGCAGTAACTCCACAAAATTCTAAACGTTTATTTAAAAATTAGCGTGTTATTTAGCGCTGCGACCAATAATAGTGACTCGGGCCGCAAAAAAAGGTTGGAGGGCCGCAGGTTGAGTATAGCTGAATTTTTTTTATACTTAAACTTTAATCCATCTTACGGATACCTGATTAAATTTTGGGCATAGTCAAAGCATCTAGACTCTAGAGAGGGTACTTTATAGGGTGTCGTTTTCATCTCTTTCATTTTTGTTTTATACATGATTTCCCTAAAATTGAGGAAAAGTGTACAAATTTAAATTTTTCCGTATTTTTGTTGGCAATGAAAATATGAAAAAATTGTTTCGAGTAAGACGTGTGTGAAAATGTATGTATTTAGTTCATCATCTAAACATTTACAGGGGTGATAATAATAGGTTGTACAAATAACCGAAAAAAGCCATAATAACTAGACAGGAAAGTCAGGTGTTGGACACATCTTGTATTATCTTATTATTATGTTTATATTTTATATTATGTTATGAACCAGAATGTTCAATATGATACAAAAAATATAAAAAAAACATTACAATTCTTAACTTTTTATTTCCAAAATTACATTTTTAAATGGTACTATCAAAAAATGGTGGGACAACTTAAAAAACTAGCGATGTAGTCATCACTCGAAAAGCTATGACGTCATAAAAATATTCGTATACCAAAATATGTCGCATTTAAAAACAAAATCGAGCTGACTGAGCGGCGAGCATTCATTTTTACGTCCCTTAAGTTAGCACTACCACTTTGGAATTTTCGATTTTTGAATATTGGCGTTTTTCCCGTTTTTTTTTCGTCAATTTGTCGTGGAAAAAGAAAATTTTTCGCTCATCCTCTTTTCAAAATAACTCCTGGTAGTGCCAACTTCACGGTAAAGTTAGCATTACCAATCATGAAAAAGAGCAAAAATTATATTTTTTTTATACGAATAATTTTTCGTTTTTTTTTCGTAAATTTGTCGAGAAAAAAAATTGTGGCACATCTCCTTTTTGAAATATACCCAATGCTAAAATAACCTCTAGTAGTGCTCGTGGAACAAGCAAGGGATAATTTTATCTACAAATAATTAGTACCTATTAAAGATTCAGTTGCCAGTTAGTAAAATAATATTTGATTTCCGTAAAGTTACCACGTTATACGTTTGAAGTTTTGAATATTTGATATGTCGCTTTTTCGTCATAAATTTGTGTTAAAAAAAAAGAAATTTGTAGCTGGTCACTTTTCTAATATACCTACCCCGTGCATGGTTACTTGAGGATCACCTATAAATATAAAATAGCCAAGTTTTTTTATTGTTTTGCCATTTTTTGATCATCAATTTAACCTTCACTTGGCATGCTTATCTTGAGTAACATACCTACGTACGAACCCCAGTGATAAAAATCTTTGTAAAAATTGAAATATTAATTATTTTGTCTCAAAAAAATTAGAGATCCTCTTTAGATACCACTTTAAACTGTAGAATAGTCCGAGTTGAAAAAATAAAGATCAGCGTTCATAAAAAATCCGGAAAAAAAAAATTATAACTTTTTTGTTTTTCCATAAAAAGGGCTGAAGTTTTAGCTGTGTCTTCTTCTATTACATCACTATAAAATAATAATAATTCTTTTCATCGGTCTTAAATAAAAAGGTATTTATTTTGAGAGCGCTATCCCACTGGCCCAGGTATAAAAGTATATCCCTTGACTACCGATAGATGTCGTTACGAGTTTTGATTTCGAAGATTTAAATATCGAAAATCGACGAGAAAAAGCGTGGGGTATGTACGTACCCCACGAGGCCAGGTGAAAATTAAGGGAGAAAAAGGACAGGACTATCCCTTAGATCTTACAAACGTGACAATTTATATTTAGAGACTTTTAAAAATAATGAAAACTTTACCTACGAAAAATTTGAGTCGGTGATTCCTTTGAAAATAAAGTAATATAATTGTACCGTTGCCGATCATTTAGATAAGAGAAGCAATTTATAACCCCTGAAAACTAATTTCTTTTATATGGATTATTTGACACGAATTTTAAAATAAAAACAAAATTCTATATCGTAACGAAATCTGTATTCAATAAAAAATAAAAGTTATTAAAAAATGTGTCATTTAAAAAAATTCTTTCACCTGATTATATTTTTACCGAGATTTTTACGGTACTTTAATTTCCCTTCGAGGTAAACTTATTAGGGATTTTTAAGCTATTGCATAGCTTTTATCGCGGGCTTTGAGTGCGGCGACCGAATCAAGAAATTCCGTAACGACCGTAACGAAAAAAAACCTAACACCCCCCACTCCGACCGGCAGAGCGGTGCGGCGTTAAACAATATTAACTTCTCATTTATTTAATAAAAGAAAATCGAAAAATCGAAAAACCGAAAAATCGAAAAATCTAAAAATCTAAAAATCTAAAAATCTAAAAATCTAAAAATCTAAAAATCTAAAAATCTAAAAATCTAAAAATCTAAAAATCTAAAAATCTAAAAATCTAAAAATCTAAAAATCTAAAAATCTAAAAATCGAAAAATCGAAAAATCGAAAAATCGAAAAATCGAAAAATCGAAAAATCAAAAAACCGAAAAATCGAAAAACCGAAAAATCAAAAATCGAAAAATATGGGACCACCATTGACGCGGTATTTTCCAGATATTTAGAGGATATCAAGTCTCAAACTTATGTTTCTTACTTCAGTTACCATAAACCTATAGTTTCAATGATAAAAATTCCTGAATAACCTACATGTATTGTAAGATAATAAAAATATTTTAAACAATATTAACTTCTCATTTATTCAATAAAAGAAAAAAAATAGTTTTCGTATCGGTCATCACGCTCAAAAAGTGTAACTTGAATTAATATCAAAGAAAAACTTGAACTAATATCAAAGAAAAAAAATACTGCATAAATAAAATAAATAAATAAATAATTATAATTGCATAAGTTGATAAAAAATGCTATTCAATAGCTTTATTGCGGCAGTCCCCGAGTGCCACAAGTATTTTTTTTAACTAAAAATTAAAAAAAAATCGTTAAATCTCTAATACGACTTCTTTAATTTTGCTGTTTATTGTAAATCGTAGTAGGCTAGTAATTTGCCGAGAAGAGAAAGAAACAAACTCTAAAAATACAATTTTTAAACGAATTAACAAAATTGTTGATACATTTTTAGGAAGTAAAGCGAATAGTTTCGGCCATTATGGCCATCCTCAGACCAAATACATGTGTTGGTAAAAGAAAAGAAAACTTGCATAATCTTACGAGGAAGTGTCATAACAATACAATAAATATTATGTAGTATGAAAAGTTATTTTTTTATATAGAATTGAACAAATTTTTCTATGTTATTTAAGACAGTAGAAATTTAGGAGTAGTTTGAAACAGGAGCATTAAAATTAAGTTGTCTGATAAATGGAGGTTGATTCATAGAAACAACCGGGCACTGAAAATGAGTGACACATTTTTTTTTTACAAGAAAAGCGACAAATTATTCATATAAAAAAATATAATCTATGCTCATTTTCAATCAAAATTAGCATTAACTGGAATTTATTTCAAAAAGGGGATCAGCGACAATTTTTTTTCCACGACAAATTTACGACAAAATGCGTCGAAGTATCCATATAAAAAATAAATATAATTTTTGCTCATTTTTGTGATTGGTAGTGCTAACTTTCCAACAAAATTAGCATTAAAAGGGGTTTATTTCAAAAAGGGAAAGAGCTACAAATTTGGTTTTCCACGACAAATATACGACTAAAAAGCGACAAATTATCCACATAAAAAAAAATTGCTCATTTTATTGTAATTGGTAGTGGTAACTCTACCGTGAAGCACTACCAGGGGTTATTTTGAAAATGAGATGAGCAATAAATTTTATTTTTCCACGACAAAAAAGTGACAAATTCTCCAATATTCAAAAATCAAAAATTCCTAAGTGGTACTGATAACTTCACGGACGTCATTTTTTGAATGGACCAATAAACATTTTATTGAATTTATTCCGTGCGTACTGTATAATTACAAGTTTACACTTTACGTTAAATTTGACTTTTCCTAGTTCATATTCAATTATTGTAGTGAGATATGCTCGAAAATTTCTGCATTTCATGGTTTGCAGGATGTTCATAAATTTTGTTACAAAACACAGTTATAATTAGGCCACTTAACGTTCTTATTCATTATTTAATAACACTATAATTATGTATATTAATAAAATAGTAATAAAAAACTCCATAGCATACCAGCTGGTTTTTCACAAGTGGTACAATCTAAACCAGTTGTGTAGGTTTGAATAATGTAATTAAGTTTTTTGCAGTTTAGTCTTAGAAAATAATTTATATCGAATTACCTTCACGGTAGATGGATTATTCATAGTTAACGACAATTGTTTTATAATATAATAATGTAAATAGAAGGTTTTATAAGATTGTTCTTGTTCAAACATAAATGTATTTTTACTGCTGTAAAGAATAAAATGTATTTCTTTACCTAAATATGCAAGCATCAGCACAGATAAAGAAAACTAATTCCTGATACTTTATCTATATACAGAGTTGTGCGAAAGTCCGGAATAAAATTATTATCAGTTCAACCAGTAACTTAAAAAAAACGCTAAACACGTGAATTGATTTTACATTGGACGTACAGTCTGTTCGCTATACTTACGCGGGTTTCAGATTAAAATTTTTATGAGTATTTCCAAGTAAGTACCCGAAAGTTTAACCTGTTCTTTGGGGAAATATCAACTGGTTAATAAATGAAATGAAAAATAATGTACAATTTTCTAATTAAATATTAATGGAGAATCTTTTGTATAATTGAGAGCAGAATTAAACTTCTTCATTAATGGAATCTAATGTGACTATTATAAACCTAATAATAATAATTTTATATTACACTTCACACAGAAAATATGGTCTATGTATAATAAGGGGGTTATTTAGCTCAAATAAAATATTTTCTAACATAAAAAATTTGTTCTATGTAGAGAATTTCAAATGAAAAATAAAAAAAAATGAACTTGCCAACAAAAATGAAAATCAGTCATTATCATCCAAAATATCATAATCGTCATCATCATCACTGTCATCACAATTAATTGTTATTATGATTGGACTTATTTCGTTTATTTTATTTTCACAAGTCCACCAATCTTCTATTAGTTTCTCGCACTTGTATATACAGTTCCGCCACACTTCTGGAGTTGCAATTGAAAGTGCTTTTCACCCAGTTTCCCGAACTGCGTCGTCACCTATAACCATTAGGCCCAATATGGTTGTCATAATATTGTTTTGCTATTCATTATATATATATTCGATGGGATTAAACTGGCAATGATACGGTGGCAGACGTAAAACTTGATGACCGTAACTTTCAATAATCTGATCCACAACAAAGGTTTTTGGTTTTGCGTGTATATTTGCCAAGCGTAATAATTCTGATTTTAATATATATTGAGGAAATGGTATATGTTCCTTTGTCAATCATTCTTTAATTTTATGAACAGTCCAAGAATTCGTAGGACTTTTGTTTAATACTTCAAAATGGTAAGGTGCATTGTCTAAAATAATTACGCTGGGCTCACTTAAACCTGGGAGAAGTTTTTCATGCAACCATTTTACAAACACTTCTGTGTTCATATTATCGTGATAGTCACTGGATTTTGATTTAGATGAAAATATTAAATCAGCACCTTCTATAAAACCTGATTTCCCTCCTGCATGTAAAATTATGTGCCGCTTCCCTTCTCCATCGGTATGTTTGATGGACTTTACGTTATCATCTTGCCATATTCTCTTGGTTGCACCCCTAGAAAATATCCATATTTCATCTAAATATATAAAATTCGCCCCTTCTTCTTTAAATTTAGAATATTTTCTTAGAAAGTTAATTCTCTTGTGCACGACAGAACTTCTTTCACAAAGGGCCTTTCTGTTATCCTCCTTTTGAAATTTGAAACTCAAGTTATGTATCACTTGCCATAGACTTGTTCTGCCAATGTCGTCAAATTTTCTATCTATTAATTCCGAGAGAATTATATTTAAGGTCACATGTTGCTTGTTGGCCCTCATTCGATAAATGGTATCACGAATTTCAAATTTCTTTCCTTCTGGAATATCTTTCGTTTTCAATGATGGGCGAGTTTTGCTGTGATCTTCTTTCGGCAGTTCACTATTGTGATTTTGTAATACTCCTCTTAATTTGGTTTCACTAATTCCTAGAGCATCGCATACGCGTTGTTGTACAGACATTACCGATTTTAAAGGACCGTCATTTTCTTTTTCATCCGTAAAATACTTATGTACACTACAAATTAGACTATCTATATCTAACACACGTCTAGGCATTTTTATAATTTCCACTTAATTTACAATATACATACAATGTTAACACTTGCAAAGAATCAATTCAACTGCAATATTTGTAACAAATTTAGTACCTACCCTAATGTTATTTTAATTTAAATCTAACCATTAGGGCAATTTTACCTAATTTCTTGGGAAAAGGCTTATTGGAACTGGTTGTCACTGACTAATTTGCATAATTTTGTTAATCCGAAACCCGCGTAAGTATAGCGAACAGACTGTATTTGTTGTCAATAAAATTATTTATTTCCAACTTTTTTTTTTCAAATGCAAAGGTATGTCGTGGTAGGGACATTGAAAAGCTCGTGAAAAATGGAATCTCATCATACTCTTTTTTTTCTTTCACTCATACGACATACCTTTGCATTAAACAAAAAAAGTTGGGTAGGGTTGAAGAAAAAAAATTAATTTTATTGGCAATAAATACGCCCAATGTAAAATCAATTCACGTGTTTCAGTTTTTTTTTTAAGGTACTGGTTGAAAACAATAATTTTATTCCGGACTTTCGCGCAACTCTGTTTAATTAATTATAAAATTTCTTGTGTAATATGCTATGGTTGGAAGAGGTAGAGTTTTAAAGAATTTCGCGGTACCTTTCTATCAGTTTTTATTAAACCTTCTTTAAAATATAATCCTTAGTAGGTACCTACTTATCAAGATTTAATGTCAGATTACTGTCATTTGAAGAAGAGATTTTGTGTTTTTTTGCTGTTAATGCTGCCCTGTTTACGAAATAAGATTCTACTTTTTTAGGATTTAATCGAGGATTTAATACTACTCTAATTTTGGATAGGTAAGTATCAATAAATGAAAACAAAGATAAATCTGTTTTTTCTGTTGGTATTTTTCGATATTTTTTATGGATGTATTTCATGACGATTGAATATTCTTCTTTAATATTTTTAACCGACTTCATAAAAGGAGGAGGTTCTCAATTTGTCGCGATATTTTTTTTTATGTATGTTCAGCGATAATTCTTCAACACGGTGTCCGATTTCAATAATTCTTTTTTTATTAGAAAGGGGGTATTTCAGGGGTAGTACCATATACATTTGGTCAAAATATAATAATTGGGTCCATGAGAAAATCCTCAAACTCTTCATTTTTTATGTATGTTTAGCGATAATGCTTTACCACCTTGTCCGATTTATATGATTCTTTTTTGTTAGTAAGGGGATACCTCAGGGGTGGTCCCATATAAATTTGGTTAAGATGTGGTGCCTGCATCTGCACGTTTTTGAAGTAGTTTTTTTTTTTTAATTTTTAATTTCTAATACTTGTTGAAATATAAAGAATTGTTTATAATCAAGTAAATCTGTTTTCTCTGTATCTTTCAAATTATATCGCTCAGAGTGAAGGTGCCAACCTAAACATTAATATGAAGTTTTTTATTTTTTGTCAGGTTTTTTTTCTCGCTTTATTTTTTTGTCAGTAATATTGTAAAATACATTTATATTTTCAATTTTAAATTTACTTTCTATGTTTAGTATATTTCATTAATTAGTGTTTATATAGGTACAGTGTGTTCCAGAAATAATTGTCCAGATTATTGATACTGGAGTATCCTTGACCCAAAATATAACGATTTAACCTAAACTACTTACATAAACTGACATAAAGTATAAAGTATTCCTCCTAACAAAGATTTATTTATTTGAAAATAATTTTTCCCACTGTTATGATACCAACATTTTTTATGCAGAAACTCATGTGACATTAGGGTAAGCAGTGGTTAAAAATGAAATCGCAATTGAGACCTGTGAAATATCCTGATTCTATAAAAAAAATGTCTGGTTTTTGGTGTACCAAATAAAATTATTTTATATAAAATTCAAATTATTTATTAATGTAACATTTCTTTTTTTGGTCCATTGTAACGTTATTAATGAAAAACCTCCTCCGACGTTCACATTATGTACAAAAAAAGTATGTACAGGTTTTGAATCATTACAGTAATTAAAGAAAATATTCGACTGCTTTTCAGAAAGCACTTCTTAAAATGCGTTGTTAGCATTGAGTAAATTTTTTAACATTCAAAATAATTTAAGAGCAAGCCCAACACTTGGAAAATGTCTAATTCCCTTTTAGCCTTTACTGTTAGTCCGGTTTTTGTGAAATTACTGAGACCCTTCCTATGAGGCATCTGTATTGCATTCGTGCAGAGGAAAAAATTTTCTTACCCCCATTTTTTAATTTTTTTTTTTCATGTTTCCGATCATACTGAGTCCGTAAATGCAAAAAAAAATTCGTCTGGTCGTCTGTGTGTATGTATGCCGGCACGATAACTCTAGAACGAAAGTTCTTCTAACTTAGAACCCTATTGATTTTCAGAATTTTCGGTTCATCCTAACTACTTTAATATCAATTTTATTAAAATACGCATATGCATTTCTTATGTGACAATTTTAGGAATTCCAATTATTTCTAACGTCAACATTACTAACATTCTTAAAATTTCATAAATTGCAAACATTCTCTAACGACCTGTCAAACAACAGCTGTTGATAGTAAAGGTGAAATTTCTAAGGCGGGTTGCGACCTTCATACTTGCAACCATAGACATTTTGGAGACTATTTTTATTCGAAATTAGTCTGCCAATTTATGAAAAATATATAAGCAATTTCTTAAAAATGACTTTTTATGGTGGTGCTAACTTAAGCGTACTACTATTTCGCCCCTAGCCACAGAAACACCTTCATCAAATTTACTGGCTCTGTCGCAAACCCCATAGAATAATAAACCTGCCATTTTATTTGCCAAAAAAAAAAAATGCTTGGCTGTACCTGTCAAGTATCAAGATATCAACTGTGATGTGTGAATGGCTCTTAAATGTCAAATTATTTAAAAATGTACACTTCTTTTGATATTTATTGCAAATAATTTGTAGTGTATCTCAATTTAGGCTTTCCATAAATAAAGGTACAGCAAGACAGATAATATAATGTTCTTATATAAAGCACTTTTTTATTATATAAAAAAGAGGTAGGATATAATGCTGGTTTTTTGTAGAAAATTTTTATTATACGATTTTGGATTACATATTCAACCAGCGAATTGTAAATAATAATTAGTAAACTTCTAGTCATAAATTTCCTCAATAAATACAATTTAAAAATGAATCTTCTTACCTTGGTACCGAGGTATTTTGTTATATTTTTTATTTTAATTATAAAGTTGTCATTTATAAGTATGTTGAAAGAAGGCATTTGTAAATTACATCCAATTTAACACAAAAATAGTTTTGTGGCTATAAGTTGCTATAACCTATCATCGCAAAACTATTAATAATTTAAATATAGTAAGTAGTATTAATATAACGAGGGGTAAAATAACAATAAATTAGGGGAAATACTTAAAAAGGGCAGGTTTAAAGAGTATTATCACAAGAAAGTATATCCGTACTGTTTATTTATCAAGTATTGTTTGAGGTTACTTTTGAATAAATTTATTGTTGTTTTTTGTATTTTCTGTAGGCAGTCTATTAAATTTTTTAAACCTTTAATAAAAATTGTATTTTGGGAAATTTTAGTGATGGCTTGGCGTACATGAAAGTCTTGATTATAGTTGTGATATTGCGAATTATATAAAAAAAATTCTAATAGATCTGATGCGATGGTACTATGCTATTTTTATTTTATAAATAAATATCAGTCATGTACTGAACATAATTCTGAATTGAAAGCCAATTTATTTCTTTTAACATAGTTGCAATACTCATCCTTCTGTCCTTTTTTAATATTATATAAATAGGCGAAGTAAGGAGCCCAAATATTTTACATGAGCAGGCTTAAGAGGTAAAGGGGTCAATTATTATTGGATAAATTGCTCAAACAAGTTTGTAAACTCTAATCAAAAGGAGATATAGAATGGTTTTAAAAATCAAGGCTTATGAAAATCATCACATGGTTTAACCTAATTAATGCCAATGCTTCACAAGCCAAAAAATTCAACGTCCTAATACTACTATCGGCTTTCGGGCTTTCGGTCCAAGTTAAATCATTTCTAGTTTTTGTTACGCTACGAGTTTACCCTTGTAGACAAGAAGCGGATTTATAAAGTATAACCTGATGGAACATATTAATTGAATGTAAGATACATCGAGTTTTCATATCTATATTTCGCTTCCTTGAACTTGTTCGATATCGAAAATCTGAGGCAAGAGTTCTGCACTTTTTTGAATGCGATTTTAATGTATAATTATTATTTAAATGTAAGACAAGGAATAATATCTTCAAATTTTGTTTTAATATCATTAATTTAAACATTTATAGCAGTTTAAAGGTTAAAGGTTTTACCCAAACATATATGTAGTATACAGATTCTTGTTTTAATTTGGATATTAATATTTTGAAAAAGATCTCGCACGCAGTATCAATGGATCAAAATTATGTTCTTTTTAGTGACCCGTTGTTTCTTTTAATGTACATACTACTTCGAAATAGAGAGTTTTCTCTTTTACTGGTACTGCATCGTCGCCTTATGTCGAAGAAAATCCGGTCTCTCGTGAAATCCGGGCGGAGTCCGGTCAAAGGCCGATTCTTACTATAGTTCAGGTAACGCTCCGTTCTCGCTCCGTCCACGCTTCACTCAAGGCGCGATGCAATATTGTGATACGCTTTTTAAATGGATATATTCATATTTGGCGTTGCGCTCACGGTACGCTCATGATTTTTGACCGCGGTCTTTCTCTTTGCGAATATTTTAAATGAAAACCGTAAGTGAACCTTTACGGCAGTGTGTACGAGCAACGATTAGATGACATTTGTTTTTCCCATTCTTGTGTTAAAAGGAATATAGATGAACAACTAATTGAATTAGTTCATAATACCAAAGAATTATACAACCTGAAGAGGACAATATTTACTTAAAAAATAATGAGGTATCAAAAAATATGTCATTATGACAATGGCGTAGAATGTAGAGGGAGAAACTTAGTCTTTCCCCTATTGTAGGTGAAAAACCAAGCATATTATGTACTTGTATGTATGACCATTTTAGACAAAAAATCTTGATTCCATATTTTCTGCAAATTAATAATATCTACAGGCACAATTTGTTAAAACAAAAATATATCACAAAATGCCTCAAATCAAAGATTATAGATGTTACTTTTACGTCTAACATTGTTTTTGCCAAGTCACACAAAAAGTTATCCTATTATATTCATTGTCAAATTGTACAGCAATTCATTTGTAATAATTTTCCTTGCCCTAACAATATGTTTTAATACAACAACTGATGTTGTTTTACTCACCCACTGGCACCCACCATTGAAAAAATGGCAAATTTTTATTAAAAAAAATTAATTGTGTCATAAGGGTGTAAAAAGATGATTTTCAAAAATATATCTTTAAAGAGTAATACTTTATTTTTAAATATTATTTACTGATGATCGAAAATAGTCTAGAAATATTTAAAATCAATTTTTGACACTTTTATTGGTAACTATATCAATTACTACAAATATCTTGGAAACTTTTCTTGATTTTTATTAATTTTCTTCTTTTTACTGCGTAATGTCTAGCTAATAATTTTTAAAAATTCAACACCCAGAACATTTAGAAGAGAAAAATTTATTAATTAATTATTTGTTATGTTCTTATTTATAGAAACCGCCCAATTTTAATTATATTACATTTTCTTAGCCAAAAATATTTTTTCCGCAAATTCTACAAATAAGTAAATCAATAGTTTTTAATTCTTTTGAAAATTTATAAATAATAAATTCGATAAACTTCATAAGTGTTCAAAAAATACATTTGATTAAATAAAAAAAAAATAAAACATACTTCTTTTTCCTATTGCACTTCCAAAAACAACACAAAGGCACAAAACAACCAGAATTTTCCTCACTTCCATTTTTACAAAATTTCGAATCACCAAATCAAAAATGATTTTAAAAAAATCCACAAGCACTGTTAATCCAATCTAAAACAAAAAATCCACTTTTGAAAAAATCCAAAAATGAAACTTTTCACCGTACTTTACGCTCGCGAGTGTATCAATCGTAATCCGGAGCTCTATCAGATGATCTTGAGGCACACTGTTTATGACTGAAAACCGGAATCTCGAGCGCGAGTTTGTTCCAAACGCAAACCGAACCTGCCCCTCTTTGAGCGGCTAGAGATGGGCGCCGGTATTTATTTAGTAACTGCCGGGGACTTTACTCTCGGAGTTGGGGTAATTTCTTTGAATTCTGGATTTTCCTACCTCAAGTGTGACAATAAGTGCGGCAAAGCAATGATCTAAGAATGAATGGTTGAAATAATAAGAGACTGTATGTCTCATATCTTGCTCCAAAAATTGTTAGGAAGTATTGGTCATCTGTTTTCGAGAATAATGGTCAACAGGTACCGAATTATGTATTGTTGTGTATGGAAAGAAGCATTATTACAGTTAAGAATGCAAGTAGTTCTAAAGGTACACAGCGAGGTACACATTCATTGCGGAATGTATTTTTTTTGAAAAATATTTTTCTCTTTACAATAGTCTTACTTCGATTTTACCTGGTGCTGTCTAAAAAAAAGAAATAAATCTAATGTACGAAAATAATACTTTTCGAAAAGGTATTCATAATCTTATTTTAAAACGGGTGTGCCGAAGAAAGTTTTAATGTGTGTTCTGATGTACGTTTTATTACGGTTTCTCATCGCTACTTTTTAACGTTTTAACACGATTTGCAGAAAAAATAGTGCACGAGGAGCACTGCTAAAGTTAGCGGAATATGTAAAACAAAACACGCATTACTATTGTAATGTGAGCCATTTTATTATTCAGTCATGCTCTAACCCTCCAAGTCCCTCTGTCTTATTTGGCCTGTGAGGCTCAACTTGTCCGATTATCATACATAACTAAACCCCTTAAGACCAAACATATGTGACGACTATGGCGGAGGTGCTTTCGAGACTTTTCCAGATAAAACGTGATAATGTTTCTAGTTTTGGCTAAGAACATTCTACAACATTCCAGATATTTTGGTGGATGAGCATTCTAGACCACCAATTTGTATATAAATATTGGTGGAGGTGAACGCTGTGTTAGTTATTATATAGACATTGAAGATAAATAGTAATTAGTAGATAGACAGTGGTGAACATAAATAGTGAACGATTCAAAGACATTCGAAATATATATATATATATATATATATATATATATATATATATATATATATATATATATAAATTAAAATAGTAGTGTTATCAAATAAATAGGTGTTTAAATAAATTATTAATAAATAAACTGTTGTTTAAAATAAATAAACGTTACACTATATATGCTCTAAAAGTTTATGACATGGCTTCAATGTCAATGTTAATTATTGATTTTAAAAATTTCGAGACCATTTTTCGTCATCAGTAACAAATATTTAAAATCATTACAGTTAAAATATACAGTTAAGATATCCGGGGTAATTCCTCCTAACAGAGATATAGGGTTTTATTTAAAAATGAGTTTTGCCCCCTGTTACGATAACTAATACTTTTTTATTATAATTGGACAAAAGTGTAAGCATATTAAGCAATTAGAAATTATTGTATGCTATTACCAGATGTCTAAGGTAGGGTAAAATACTTAGTCTCCTCCTCTACATTCTAAACCACCGGCGCGGCGTAATCGGCATAAGGAACTTTTTTATTTTCTAAGTAAATATTGTCCTCTTGTCCCATTTTGATAGTAAGTGGTTTTTAAAATATTTACGCTCAAAGATATAAGGTTGCTACCATCTGACCGAATAATTCCGGTCTTGACCGGAATTTAAGACTTCGCGTAGATTTCATTAGTTCTTGGACATCAGACAACGATGAAGTAAGTACTAGTAAAAGAGAAAAACTTTATTATCGAAGTATTATGTACTGAAAAACCGACTTAATTGACTTCTTCATATCCATGGGCGTCGTTACACAATTCTATAGGGAGGAGCAAAATTTTGAAAAAATTTAGACAAAACTAAAAAAAACAAGAAACTTAAAACACATATTTTTAAAAAACAGCAGGTGTGATATAGAAGAAAAATATTTCCTCTACCTAAAATAATCGATAACAGAAAACATGATTTCGTTTTAGTTTTTTGCGATTATTTTTAAATGTAGGCTCATCATGCAAAACGCAGTCAGCCTATTTTCGAATAATGAATGACAGTGACAGTAGCGCCAACTAATTTATGAACTAACGGACGATATTTGCGTATACTGACAATACAATTTTTAAAAGAATTCCTAATTAAAAAATATATATGTTGATTTTAATGAAAGTATACAGATTTGTAAAACAAGTGAAAAAATTAATTATTATATATTTTTATTACTTCAGCTAAAAAAATGTATGATATATTGCCTACGCCTAATAAGTTGTCATTGAAGAATAGGTTAAATAATGTGAAAATAAAAACATTACCATTATATCAAGTATCAAAACGTATTAACAAAAATAATTGGGTAAATTTGCGATTGTAATTTATATTTTCTTCATTTTTAGTTCGAAACAACCCATAGAAATTAATGATTAAAATTGATTTCCTATCAAGATTGCATTTCATCCACATACAATAATCAAAGGCAGAAACCTAATCCTTGCTGAATATTAAAGAGTTAATGGATGTTGAACAACATTGTAAAATAATAATTTATTGTTTATTTAAAACACATGCAAAAATTGAAAATTATATCTAAACTATTTTCAGAGGTATTAAAAAAAATATCTCTTTAAAAAAACAAATTTTCAACTCCCTGTAGCAAAAAATTGAAGCCGTTGCGGACATATGTTCATATAAACTTTTCTTTATAAAATGACCTGAGGAATTGTACCCTAAAATATTAGCATACCATTAAAAAACACCCTGTATAAATTATAAAAACAGGGAAACCATTTTGAATTTTTAAAAAGTAATTTACGATCTGTTATTTTTGATCAGATATCAATTTTATCAGAAACCAATTTTAGTCGAAATTTGCTGACTTTTAAAAATAAATGTTTTTTTTAATTGCACACCCTGTATATATCTGACAGGGAAGTATAACCGGTTTTGAGCCAAGAGAAAGCTTTACCTGCATACCAAGTTTTTCTCGTAAGCCGTTTTTGAGCTACCGCGCCAACAGACAGACAGCAGACAACAGACGGTGGACCGACCGACAGAATGGGGAAAACATGTTTTTTATAATCAAGGGACCCGAAAACGTGAAAATCTAAATTTTTACGATTAGAATACTTCCCTTTTATAGAGGGAAGTAAAAATAAAATAAGTATACTCAATCTCTTGAATGCTCCTTTACTAATTTAAAGGTGATGTATCAGTCTCCTTGGTTGCTTTTGTATGTTGCCGGCTGGCTTTAAAGTCACACTATCTTTTGCTTAACAAACATATGTATAACATCGGTCTGACAGAAGAGACCTTGTGCCGATTCTGTCAGGAAGAGGAGGAAACGGCAGTACACGTATTGTGCTACTGCGAAGGTCTTGCAAGACTGAGATTCCTTACACTTGGAGAAGAAAATCAAGGGCAACTAGCTATACCAGAGACCTACTTCCCAGTCTATGGAGTCTACTACAAAAGACCGAATTAGACAAGGTAATCTAAACAACGATTCAAGAATATCCACAATAGATCTGAAACTGTCGAGGTGGGGGAGGCCACATGGCCCACAGTCCTAATTAAATCTAATCTAATCTCTTGCTCGTATTATACTAAAAATTGGTATCGTTGCAAAAGGAAAAAAATATTTTTAGTTCTAAATTTAGTACTAAATTAATAACTCAATTTAGGGCTAAATTTTAGTACTTAATTTAGTTTCGTGACCTACAGCCATTACGCCTTGTAAATTCGTAACAGCCAGGGGGCCAACCGCCCCACTTGCCCCCCCCCCCAAATGACACCCATGTTCATATCTCGAAATATTTGTAATTATTACATGCATTGTGAAAAAATTTGGAATATGAACTCTATCTAGCTCCCATCCTTCTCATACTCATATTATTTTTCAATAAGAACTACCCCCTAGCATTCTGGTTTCTAAGTCATTAATTGATTCAGTAAATTGATTAATTCACTAAACGCAAATTCTATTAAAAATTTACTAACCAATAAATTAATTTTATTGTATTAAAATAAGCTAAAAACTAATCAAATATTTAGCCTTTATTTAAAGAAGTCATATCTAGTATCCATCATAATAAATAAATATCAAATTTCACAAAGTACAAAATTATTAAAAAAAAAAAACAATTTTTCAAGTTATTTTTATGTGTTCTATCTTCTGAATCCGGAAGATTACCCACATATTCTGAGACACCCTGTGTATTAAATTATTTAACCAAAATCTACTTTAGTACAGTAAATATTTTACATTTAAATCGGACAAATAACAAAAATATTTTCGATACAAGATGATCTAGGTCAGATAACTTCAATTGATAGTATTTTTTTATATAAAGGATACAATTTTCTCCCATCTACCTTTTTTTGAATAGAAATTCAAAATTATAAATATATTTAACCAATATAACATATAAAATAGAAGACATTATAAAAAAATATTATGATGTTTATGTCAAGTCTTTTTTTTATTGTTAAAACAGTTGCAACTGGTAATTATTTTTACACAACTACTAATTATAATAAAATAATTATTCAATTCATCTCTATTCTATGAATCACCATTAATTAATTAAATAGAAAATAAACTAATACTTAAACTAAACGTTACAAAATAACAGCGTTCATAATAACGGCAAGTCTCTACTCTAGTGCAAGCATTTCAACTTTACCAGTATCGAAATACATCAGAGTCGAGAGTATAAGGATGTTCTTGGCAACTGAGGTTTTACCTCAATAAAATACTTCGCTATTATTATAGTCTCTCGAACAACTGTTCAAGATATTCGCGGTTTTGGTTCTTTTTAGAGTCAAAATATTCATTATCGCAAACCCTAAATAAATTTGCAAAGTTTACGGTTGTTTTTGTCTTGTGTTTTAAAATGTTTTAATATATGGGAAATAGCAATAGTTTCCATTACTGAAAGAGATATAAATAACCGAAACATTGTTTACAAACATTATTAATGATTTACTAATTTTTATTCAGTATTGGTAGAATTATTTAGGTGTTT